TTCCCCGGCCGCGGCGCGGGCTTTTCAGGCGCTCAACGCGGGAACGGAGAGAAACGCGCGCAGCGCTCGCGGGGCGGGCACGTGCCAGGAGGCAGCGCTGACTCCGGCCCGTTCCCTGGGAGCAAGAGGAGCTGGAAGTCTCTCCCAAGGCCTGCCCCAGCACCCAGCCCCAAGCTGGGCTGGTCGATGGAGAGGGAGGTTTAGTGAGAAAACTCATTGAACTAAGTAGGAAAATGTATTTTAAAGAGGCAGTCAGGCCTTGTGCCTCACATGGCCAGCAGCTGCTGCACCTCCTTGAGCATCACCGAACACTGCTCCATTTCGGCTTGGAAAGAGGAGTGCTTCTCCAGGGACTCGCGTCTCTCTTCTTCAGCAGATTTCCACTGAGCCATTGCTGTCTGTGTGGAAAAGTCAGCACACGCAGAAGTTCATTCACACCACAGCACTAACTTGCAAAGCTAAGCTCAAAAATAACTTCATTTAACTCCAAAATTACTCCATAAAAATAACAGTGCTCTTCCAGTGGCTTTTACAACTACCAGCAGTACAGGCTCAGGAAGGCCTCTCTGAGAAGCACTCATTTTAGCAGAGGGAGCTCCATTTCCCCTATTAGTATCCAGCTTAATCTTCCAAGAGATTCAATTTTATCTGGAAATTACTAGTCATTACTATTTCTAAAGCACTTCCTATTTTCTATGTTGTTTAAACTCAAATTATACACAACAACTTGAAATGACCTTGATGAGAATGACCATTGCCCCACCACCAACCTTGATATAAATACCTTCATTTAGAAGGGGAGAAACACTTGTTTTCCTCATTATGCACTTATTTATAAGAAAATATGAATAATGCTGCATACATTCACTGTCTTTTTTTTTTTTTTTTTTGAATAGTGGGCCATCATAGGGAGGTACAAAACAAGCTTCAAAAATTTCACTCAGATGCTCATGACCTGGTTGACTGAATCAAAGTTATGGCCTTACCTGAAGCAATTCCTTTTCTGTCACAGCTGTTTGGTTAAACAGCCTCAATTCTGCTATGAGTTTCTCAGTTAACAGCTGGAAAGCCAAAGGAAGATAGTTTAGTGCGACACAGATAACTGTGAATCGCGGCAACTATTTCTACAACAGCAGTAAAAAGCAGTAGTGCACAGGCTTGTTACTAACAAAGCCCATTTTACTCATATCACCATTTCTATACTTACCGTCGTCTGCTTCCGACATTCCTCTGTCTTTTCCTCCTCCTCCAAAATATTGCTGCCTGTAACTGATTTTGAGATTAATGAACACAGCTGCAATTGGAAATTCAAGGATGTTCTGCAAAAGTACCATCAGTATCTTATTTAGTATCAAAATGCAAAGTCCTCACCAGGATCAATCTTTCTGCTTGCTAAAAGCACCATGCAGGTCTCCTGAAACTTCTTGAGCTTCTCAACTTCTTGTACCAGGCCTTCATTCTCGTCCCTTAGCTTCTTTATGATGCCCTGTCATTAGCATAGGTCAAAAGTGAAGCAAGTTTCCAAGGAGAGCTTCCCCTGAGAGTCAATAATACCAACTGTGATGCTAATGGTTTAGCAGATGCTCCCCAAGCACCAAGAATCAGGTCTTGCTCTTCTAACTTTATCACCACTGCAGATTAATCTGTTTCAGATGCTTACTTAAGCTCCTTGACTGCATTAATACATTTATCACATGCAAGAGCCAAAGCAGTGCTTGAAGATATTAAAAAAAAAAATCAATCTTAAAGATCCCTTTCAGGCAAGTCTATCATGTCTATTCCTGAGCTACACACACATTTCTTGAGTTTCATGCACAGAAGAGCACAGAACATAGAATGTTGTCTGGAGTCTTTGAGCTACATCATTCTCTTCACAGTTCAGATAGTACCAGGCAATCTGATAAGCTGATCAGCCTCTTAAGTCTGCTACAACTCTCTGAGAGAATCAGCAAGCATGTGGATTAGAGTGATCCAGCTGATAGTATCAGAAGATATCTGTGCATTCCATAGGAGGTCTCAAATGCTCTTAAAGAAATTAAGCTATGAGATAAAAGGAAAGATTTTCTCACAGATTAGTAACTGGTTGTAAACTAGCAAATAAAGTGAGCTTTTACAACTGAAGGTTACCAGCAGGGCCTCCCACATGGAACAGAATTTGTGCTGTCCTAGTGACCTGGAGGGGGTGGTGAATAATGAAATACCTTTCAGGATGGTAGGATCTTAGTGTGATAAAACCTGCTACAGACTAGCACTACACTAAAAGACAATATGTCACAGTAGCATATGGAAGAACTATAACCCTACACACACTGTACTCTATGTGGGTTAGTAATACTCAGAAAATAATGCCAGCATCCCTCAGATTTCTAGTGCACAGCTGTGACCAAAATTCATTTCTTTTTTTTTTTTTTTTTTTTTTTTTTTTTTTTTAACTAAAACACAGGCATATATATTGCTGAAGAACCCTCATCTCTAATAGAGTTCCACACCAGAATTTTTGTGATGAGGTAACATAACTAGGAGAGATGCGCCTAAGGGAACAAGGATCTTCTAGGAAATTGAATAGCTTATCTGTTGTACGAGGAGGGAGAAGTGTGTTACGAGGCAAGGATGAAAGAAAAGAATTAATAGACCTTGAGTCTTCAGTGGTGATTACTGAGATTATTTACAGTTCCTCACAATGCAACGAGGGAGCATCTACCAGCATTGAGGTTCAGGGTTTCAGCTTCACAATTATATACCTGCATAGTGCTCCTGCAATGAGTTTAAGATCAAATTGCAGCACCAGTGACTATTAGTAATGCATTATCTAGCTAAATACATCTGTGTTTCTGCCTACTCTTACACTTTACTGTTTCTGATAGAGACAGGACAAGCAACAACAAAATCCTTTGATCTGACCCTACAGAGGGCAGAATATAAGAACTGTTTGGGTAATGCTTTTCTCCTTACCTGTGCACCTGCTAGTCGGGAGTGGAGTTGCTGCTTGGCTGTTTCTAACAGCTGATTCTTGGTCTTCAGCTCTGCCTCCAACTTGTATCTGTTTGGAGGTCTGTAGAGTCAAACATCAGAGACTTAAAGGCAGAAATACCAGTGTTACACATCTATTCTTTTGCTTTCCTCAAATGCCCTCCTCTGAAGCAGCAACATACTTGACAGAAGTAGATGTATGTGAGTGAGAGCTCATCAGAACTGAGATACAACATTATTGCATGAGATCCACTTATAGCTATTTGAGCTACATACCTTATTGCAGCTGTCTTTTTTGAAACAGGTTCTGTTTTCTTGGCAGATTTAGGAAACCTTAAAAGACAAGTAGAATATGTAGGGATTAAATAGTTAATGTAGAGTGTACTAATAAGCTAGTCAATACTTAGTCTCATAGTGCAAGGACTCCTGATATATGGCAAGTCAGGATGTTCTGCATGGAGGGGTTGCCTATCCAGGTGTCCCAGTCAGCAATAAAATATAGATAACATTGACATGAAAGAAGAAGAGGAAAACGGGAGGGGGAATATTTTTGGGGTAAAAACGGTATAAAAGAGGGACACCCGAAGTGGTCGGGGTCCATGGTGTGACCCCTGTGTGGGAAAGCCCAGACTCCAGCTAGCCAGTAATACTTATTATCTTTCTCCTATCATTAAAAAGCACAATATATCGATGGTGTTTGCCTCTTTCTCCTTCGATTCGAAAAACGGACCTAACAAATACAGTTACCAGAGCCACTGCATATTTCCAACTTACCAAGTCAGCTTGACAAAAAAAACCTGCAAAATGCTAAGCCACTTTCAGGACGCTTATCAAGTAATAAATCCACCACTCATTTCCTTTCACTTACCCTTGATTTGTAGCTTTGAAGACACCATCTCCTGGAATATTTGAGACAAAGTTAAAAATGGGATCCTTACTGAACTCCAGCTCAGCTGTTTTGCTGACACATAGTTTCTTTGAAGGAAATGCCATTTGCATTTCCTGCAGAAGAAAGGCATCAATAAAAACACCTGCAGGAAATCACCATAATATGCAGAACCTCTGGATATATTAAGTTTTCAACTTGATAAAAATCATGATATTGGGTTAGAACTGAGAAAGCAACAAGCAAGAGCAGTCTTCAAATTCTACCCATGGTTCAGAATAAGCCACAGGTGTTAAAACACAGTTTTTAGGCTATACTGCAGGTGTGATAGTAAAGAAAGCCTCAGCACCAGGCAAACAGCAAGCCACAGCATCCCAAGCAAAGTTATCCATCATCAGAAGCAAAACATATACAGCCCACTTGAAGCCTTCAGTGCAAGACAGCTTTGTATTTCAGTTTACTGTAGAGAAATATACTTCGAAAGTAACTGGTGAAGCTGTGGTAGAGCAAGCTTTGTATGTAGAGGTAATTCAGCCACAAAGCAGAGCTATTTGAGTACATAAAGCTTCATTTATGTAGTGGCTTTTGGAAAGCTTTTTTGTTTTGTTTTGTGAGCTAAAGCTTTCTCAAATAATACATTTATTTGAGCTGCACACAAGCCTTTAACGAGGCCTTATAAAAGACACTACAGATCACGGCGGCCTCGGAGCTCCCCAAAAGACACCCGCTTAACGCTGGCTCCCACCATCCCGCCTCCGCACGGGCACTAAGAGAGGGCCCGGGCCCTCGGGGCACAGCGAGGCCGGGCACGCACCTGTGGGGCTGCCGCGGTGGAGGGCGCCGTACACGGGGATGCGGGAGGACTCTCGCTCCATGCTGCGCCGCGCCTCAGCGGCCGCCGGCCCAAAAGCGCCGCTCCAACGGCCTCCCGCCTGCACTGAGGCTCCGCGCGGCGGGTAGAGCCGGCTCG